GTATAACATTATAACATGATATAAAACTCAAAAAAGTTGATTTTACATGATATTGCCCCTTTAAAGTAAAAATCATAAAAATCTTACATTTCTTACCCCTCCATAAAAAAATCTGCTTTTTGTTTTAAAGAATAAAGTCTATTAATGAGCTCAATACATTAACAGTCCTTCTTTCTACCAGATGTTTTGATTAATTTTGATTAATTGAGCCAATTTTCAAAACTAGAACAAAATAGCTTAAAGCCCCGTTCTCCTCTTTTTAATTTGATTCCTTTTTTCATGTCTGATTTTTAACATTTATTTTAATAACAAGCAGCTGTTGTGAGCTCCTCCACTGAGATGGCTGTGCATGCAACACCYCCCACCCCCTCCCCTTGTCTTTTTKGACCCACAATGCACCCCAGCAGGCGCCGCACACCTCTCCTGTTAAAGACACGCGGGAGGGGTGGATGCGCACGGCACACTGTGGCTGGCATGCGATTCTCCGTCAAGCTGGTTGCCATGGTGAAGGCAAACCGCTCTCTAAATCTCCATCTTGCTCCTTCCTCCTTCCATCTTGAACTGCAATCCCCATGACCCTTGTTCCCCGCTGTCGACCCCCCTCCGACCCTTGACGTCTGATCGGTGCCTGTGGGTGAAAAAAACAAACAAAAACAAACAAAAAAAAAAAAAACCAACCAGGCCAAAATGGCCGCCTCCCACTGAGGCACCAGAGACACAGCGTAGTGGGCGTGCTCACCATTCAGAGAGCCCAGTCTGACTGGCTGCCTGACCTGCCATCCACCCTGTTGGCCAAAGGGAGCAGAGCAGACGGCAGAAACCTGACCCTCAGGAAAGCTGTGTCAGAGGAGAGGCCGCAGACCACCGGAGGTGAGAGCCAACCCAAGAGTCCCCCCCACTCCCCTCCCCTCACCCCCCTTTTTGTCGTGTGACTGAAGCAGAAAAGGAGAAAGAGAGAGTGAGAGGATGCGGTCCTACTAACGCACACCTGCAGAAAGAAAAGAGGGCAGAAAAGAGACAGGAAAGGCAGAGAGAGAGAAAGTCGCCGGCGTGATTCATGCAGCAACTTTCCTCACGGCCACAGACACAGCTCACTGATGCCGAGAAAAAGATAGATAGATATATTTAAAACGCTGATATGATTCATTTCCAGTTTCTGCTGYGTCGTGACTCCGGCGCGGCTTCATTGAGCTCTGTACCCAACAGTGGTGTTGTGTTGAGCGGCCTGAAAGAAAGCTGTGTGGGCATGGATCCTGTTCTGCACCACAGCCACACATCTGAGCTCCATTCACACTCACACTGMCCCATCGGGCCTTTCAGAACCAAACTCCACCGTACAACAGAAAGCATGTACGCACTTTTCAACCACTTCTATAAAAGCATACATTCACAAACATTTGAAAAACATCACATAAAACAATCTTATATAAAAACATGTGAGAACACTTAATATTTCATATAGAGGATTAACAACTTAAGTAGCTTTTTGTGCCTCTTGTGTAGTCTGCATTAACGTGTGTGTATGTAGTGTTTTCATGTTTATTCTTATCATTGTCTTGTCTTTAAGAGAGGCTTCAGATAAATATTTGTCTGCGCTTCTTTGCAAGTCCTCACTGTTTGTGCAATTCATTACAGTCCAGTCTTGTTTACTAAATTGCATAAAGCTAACTGCAAAAACTGAGCACCTAACCAAGTTTTAAAATCTTATCTCCAGCCAAAAAGTCTTTTTGATCTTGTTTTGAGACTGATTTACTAAGCAAGAACTGATTGTGTAAGAAKAATAATCTTGTTTTCAGACTGTGTAAGATTATTTGTCTTGTTTGTCTGAAAAGTTGACTCAATTTAAGTCAAAAATTTCTGCCAATGGAGTAAAAAAAATAACTTGGTAAAATTCTTGAAATACTTGATTTGACTCATTTTTTTCTTATTTCAATAATCTTACCAAATAAAATTTTCTTACTCCATTGGCAGAAATTTTTTGACATAATTTGAATCAAATTTTCAGGCTAACAAGACAAATAATCTTACACATTCTGAAAGCAAGATTATTATTCTTACACAATCAGTTCTTGTTTAGTAAATCAGTCTCAAAACAAGATCAAAAAGCCTTTATGGCTGGATATAAGATTTTAAAACTCGGTCAAGATGGACATTTTTGAGTGTAGCTTTGGTTTTTGTGTAAGACAAGTGCGATTTTTCTGCCTTTTTTTCTCTGGGTGGTAACGCTTGTGGTTGATTCTGCGCAGCTCGGTCAAGCTACAGATCAGGCGATGCCCCCGTCACGGCCGCCTCCCTGGACAGCGGGCTGAGCGGCAGCGCTTACAGCCTGTTGGAYGAAGAGGGAGAGACGAACGAAGTGGACAGCGCCATCTTCCAGGTTCCCCGATTGTGAGTGACGTCGTCGAGTTTGTACATGTTGAACACTTGTCACTGATTGCTTTCCTGGTATTTTACACAACTTCGTACAGGAAGCCAGTAGAAATCCTGACAAAACAAGGAATTTTTAGAACAAAAACCTCGCATCATCTGAGCTTGTTTGCTGTTATCTAGGCCAAGACTAATAGATATAAAGCTGYAAATTAAACCTGTAGCTTGTAAAGAAAAATGTCAGAACATCTATCTCTGGCTGCAACACAAAGTAGGTCACATATCAAAGCAGCTGCTTTCTACMAAACTGTGTTTTTTTGTCGAATAAAGCTAAAATCTTTCATCAGTTCACAAAATGATAAGTTGGTAACAATAAATTTTCTTTTATTTGATTTTAGACTTAAAGTTTGTATGGTGTTGATGCCAAGAGTTCCCTTTTTTAAAGTATTATTTTTCCTTCTCTCTTTAGTGGGAAGATCCCAAACGGCACAGACGTGATTAAATCATCAATGGGACACGGTGATGCTGAAGGTTAGAGAACACTATGTGTTGCTCGCAGTTTTTGCATTAATCTGAAATTAGGATTTAGTTTGCCTCATTGATATGAAACAGAAAGTATTTAGAAAAGCTATTTATTTATTTATTTTCTGTTGACTGTGGCGTTGATGTTTGTCTCACTATGACTAATGCGAAGGTGGGAAGATGACTCTTAAAAAACTCCTCGGCCTCGCTGAGGTACAACAAACCTGGAGATGGGCGATTCATTCACACACATCACGTTTTTCCTTTTGATGCTCAGTTTGTCAAAACACACTCGTGTCTCCATTTCTTCAATTAAGATGAATCATTTTATACAAGGTTTATCTCGGCCGATAACCAAACACTTATCAAATCTTCACACTGAAGTGTAGCAATTCTATGATTATTATTTATCTGCAGAATGTGGGTGGAATGTTACAACAAAACGAGAATCAAAGCTCACAAACCAATTTTTTCATTTGCAAAAGGTCTTAAACAACTTGCAGGTACATTTTTTTATCATGTTMGTATGTTTTTAACCACAAGAGGGCAGCAGAGAGTACAACAGAGCAGACCTAATCCTTTCTGTTGAACCTTGAATAAATATCTGTGTATGCAGGTAAGACTCAGGTGATGGGGGAGATCAAAATCGCGCTAAAGAGGGAGATGAAGACAGAAGGGGAGCACCTGGTGCTTGAGATTCTTCAGTGTCGCAACATCACCTACAAGTTCAAGACTCCGGACCACCTGCCTGGTAACAAATATAAAAATAGGTTTTAAAAGCAAGTGGATGAAATTGCTGAAATTAGCACAAAGAAACAGAATGAGCACATGATTGCTGATTTAAGCAGTAAGAAGCTGAAATTATCACAAAAGGGGAAGTTAACTAAAAAAAAGCTCAAATTAGATTTAAAAAGTAGCAAAAAACACACAAAAAAGCTGAAATTAGCAAGCTGCTGAGAAAAGCACAAAAACAAGTCAGAATGATAGCTTAAAAGGCCAATATTCTGTGTTTCTCAGGCATACACTTAAATACCATACCATAATAAAGTATCTATGCCACCTTTAGCTGTTATTAAAATGCTGTTGTTATGTTTAAATAGAAAATAAACTTATCTTCTCATCACTTCCTCTTCTAAACTTGAAATTGGCCTCTGTCTCTTAAGAACCTCCTTCTGCTTCTGTCCCGTACATTTCAGATTTCTCAAACATGCATGAATGAGTCAAAGCAAGGCTTTGGGCATGTTTTTTTTATGAGAGTATAACATTATATCATGATATAAAACTCAAAAAAGTTGATTTTACATGATATTGCCCCTTTAAAAAAAGCTAAAATCAGCCAAAGAGAATCTGCAATTAGTACAAAGGAGTTTTAAAAAGCAGAAGCAGAACAAAATGTAAAAACCACAGAAAAAGATTATTACAACTTTTAAGCGTTTTAAGAATGTTGCAGACAGCTACATTCATATTCATTTAGGGGAAAAAAGGCCAAAAAAGCTAAATATCTCAAAAATATAAATTGCTAAAGTACCAGAAGTCGTTGCCAGAATGCCCTGAAKGAGCTGAATGTTTTGATGCATAAATTTTTGAAATAACACAAAAATTGCAGAATGAATTAGGTGCTGAAAAATATGCGGATTCATTCMCACTACAATATGCATTTCAGTAGGATTAGATATTGTGCCAAAATCCCTCTCAGAGTCATAAAATCTTGATGATCAGCTTWAAGGCAGTGCTTGTCTGCATCCACAGACCTGTACGTGAAGCTCTACGTGGTGAACATCGCCACCCAGAAAAGGATMATCAAGAAGAAGACCAGAGTGTGCCGCCACGACCGCGAGCCATCTTTTAACGAAACSTTCCGCTTCTGCATGAACCCGACCGGACACTCGCTACAGGTAACGGCCGCTAAAGTTACGGCAATCTGAGAAAAAAAACAAAACAATTCAAGCGTGAACTCGATCTCTTCCTTCTGTTCCTCTCGCTCCAGCTGTTCCTCGTGTCCAACGGCGGCAAGTTCATGAAGAAGACCCTGATCGGCGAGGCCTACGTGTGGTTGGACAAAATAGACTTGCGGAAGCGAGTGGTGAGCTGGCACAAGCTGCTCGCCAGCACCGCTCACATCCACTCATAGGAGAAATGTTGCTTGTTTTGCTACAATAATTTTTTTTGTTTTTGTTTTGGGAGTCGCCCATGAAMGGTTATGTTGTTTACAGGAAAAGAACACATGTTTACAGGACATTAGAGCGAGTAAAGCCAGAGCTGAGGAGAACACAAGAGCTCCAAAATCAACCAGGGATTAATCCACGTCCACACACACACACACACACACACACACACACACCGTTACTTTGCACAGAATCACTCACACAGAGGAGGGATTTTATTCCAACGCAGAGATACAGGGACGCGTTTATAGATTAGAATTTATTTATTCAGATGTTTTTATCAGTTAACGATTCTTTACATCAGCACTCGTCATCGCTTTAAGGAAATCTGCAGAGTTTTAATGATTTACAGAGCTTTTTAGGAATGTGATACTGAAGGCTATTTATTTTTGTACCATAATGTGAGCTCAGAGTCCTATCATTTGTTTGATCTATTATTGAGAAGAAAGGGAAGCGTATTTTTTAACACTGGCGTTCCAGTTCAAAGGAATTAAAGAAGCAAGCATTTTGATTTTATTTTTATTATTTATCTGTTCCCCCCGCACCTTTTTACTTTAGGTTTTCTCAAATTAAAGTTATTGTTTGATAAAGGATTAATATATATCAGATTGGATACTATACAGTATATTGTGCGCATGAGTCTATGAGGCATGCATTGCCACATGTTCTCCACCTCTAAGGTTCACTTTGTATATAAGTGTCATAGCTGGACATGAATATAAATAGATATAGAGATATCTTTATCACAGACAATCAAGTCTTGATGATTGTGACTTAGAAGTTTTATTTACCCTTGATGCCCCATGAAATGAGATGGTTGTTTTTATTTTTATTTTATTATTTTTTTTACCCATGAGTCTAACATCTGGTTTATCTTTGTTTCCAGAGGGCACGCTTTTGTGGTATTTTGCACTTTTTTCTGCTTAGAATGTAAAACTGACATATATCTAAAGGTAAAGGTTTTCTTTAAAAAAAAAAAAAGGGAGGTGAAACGAGACTTTTAAACAGAAGCACTGGTTTGTTCCATCGTTTTGTTTCTTTTAAATCATTGTCCACCCCTGAAATCGTCGATGTGTCGTCTTTAAACGCCTCGTGTGCTCGTTATCTCTTGCGAAACTTGTGTTTTGTGTGGGTCAGGACACGGTACTGCCGGCTTGTTCGATATTCAGTCCAACTTAGCAGTGAAACAACACTTAACAGTCGAGTGATTTCTATGCAACATCCATTGTAAGGAAAGTAATAGTAACTACATCTTGACTTGCCAGAAGAGAATCGTTTTGAGTTGTATTTTGCACTGCTGTTTTGTATGTCCTGCACTAAATGGTTACCCCTTTAATATGATTTTTATTTTTTTTTATTTGGTTTTATCATTTGATTTTTGTATCGCTGCGCAAATCCTAATTTGTTGCCTGTGAGACTATTTCACATGTTGTATTATATTTGTTTACAGTACATATCAGGTGTACAGAATAACTGAAATGTTTACTTTTATACACGATGTAGTACTTGTTTACAATAATTAGAGGGCCTGAAACTCAGAGATCTAACTTTTTTTTGGCCCTTGAACACATCCATGAATAATTCCACGTTGCTCGTTAATCAAACTAAAAGAACTGTCTTTTTCTGTGCATTTCCCTTTTGAACACTTTTTAGGTTCCAGTTAGCTTTTTAAAAACTACCCCAAAAAAATAAAGAGAATATGTCATTGCAATCGAAACTACTGTAGTCTTAAAACGATAGTTTAAATATTTAAAAGTCAGGTTCTGCAGAGAGATTGAAAACGTTTCGAGTAGTTCTGACCGGACTGACAGGCTAACCGTTAGCCTGTGCGGGGTGAAATTTCATGATGAGAATTTTGTGTTTATTAGCAAGTGAAAACAGCAACCCGGAGCAGCTAGCTTTAGCATTTCCTGCGCAGCCTGTGGCRACTGCTGGAATTTAACAGCAACGTTAAACATATAAAATTATGTTCACATAAAAAATTTGAGATTGAACGTGTTAAAAATTCCCCTTTGATCCCAGCTGTATTGAACTAGCCGTTAGCTTTTCCATCTGGTAACAGATAAGATATTTGTTATTAATATTTTTCTAAAGAACCTGTCTTAAAAAGAATATAATTTGAACGTTAAGTCTCTTTATCTCTTTATTTAATTTTGTAGTTGTGTGTAGCGCCTTCATACAAGTGTCACGCATGCCATCTACACTACTTTTATTTTGAAATTCAATTCCAAAATGTATCGCAACACACAATGACGTATACATTTTCACACACAGATGCCGTTTCTTTGTTTTCAGCCTTGTAAATACATAGATTTTTTATTATTATTATTATTTTAACTGGGGTTTGGGGAGCAGACATAAAACAAGGGGTGTGACGCCGGAAGCAACAGGAAGTTGTTTCCCTCGCCATCACTACACAGCAGAGAAAATTTAAAAGAAAGTGTATTTTGTCTGCTTTTAGAGACCCAAATACACCCAACCCCTTTACACAGAACACTGAGTTTACCACAATCTAACACGAAGACGTTTTATTGTAACAACTCGAGTAGTTGCAGGAGAATTTAAATGTGCTCACTGGATGTTGCATGTTCTGTTGGTGGTTCATACTATTTTTGTGTCCAGATATTATTACAGAAAAAAAAACATGAGAAGAGGTTTAGAATAATTTATAGCAAAAAATAAATAAATAAAAAATGTAGGGGAGAGCAGTGGTTGTGGGGGGGAGGAAAGAGAAAAATAATCGATGACGTATGCTGACTGTACAAAGATTATGCTTGTAAAACCTGTCTGGTTTTTCACTTGTAAGTAAACAAACAAAATAATAACTGTCATGGTTTTTGTGATTGTACACAGGAGGTATTGATAAATTATGCAACATGTGCTGTAAAAATGGCTATTGCCCCATGTCGAAATAATAAATATCAGTACAAATGAAGTGATACCGTTGTGCGTTGCCATTGATATACAAAATTCCTGACTGCAACACAGCTTTGTATTTTTTTGTCTTTCATCTCCTTTCTTTTACATTTTTAAACTATTTGTTTTGTCCAAGTTTGTTCCCTGACACGCATGATGTAGTAACACAAAATTGCCAGGAGGTGGCGCTATATATTTCTCTTACTGCCACAGGTGTTTCTCGTTCAGTCTGATTAGTCGCTTGATTGGACCGAGTGAACAATTAGTGTTTATTAACGGCTCTTTCTGTGCTATTTCGCTTTAAATATAACCAACACAAGGTAAGTGGGTRTGTTTTAAGTTGTCTTCTCTGTTCTGAGTGGTTTATTTGACACACCTGTTGCATGAACGAGCGATTAACGTGACTCAGCAGAACATGAAGCGCGTGCACATGCAGAATAGTGGCCCTTAGGAACTATTGCTCTAAAATATTTAATTATAATTTGTTTAAGGAATATAATTAAACGGCTCTCCGTGACAACAAATGTTACGCAACATTTAATAGAAAAAAATAACCATTTTATCTGTTTTGAAAAGCTTCATGTTCTGTACTGATAATCTGCCCGAAGCTGCACAACAGGTAAATCAAGTACATGAAAATTAATTAGTTGTCAGCTTTGCATTCTTGCTAATTGCCACAAATTTTGTAACATACTGTTTTAATAGAAGTCAGGTTTAGTCAAGTTATTTTTAAACCTCTGAAGCCCGCCATGCCCTGCCTGCAGGGGCAGATTGCACTTATTTTCATTAAGCTAAGTTCTTCATTAAACAGACAGGTGGTAGCTATAGAAATGTCAAAATCTTTGCTAAAAACTCAAACCATCTCTATGTTCACCWGACGGTTAAAATGATAAGCAGTTGAAGAAAACTCATTGGGGTTTAAGAGGTTAATTAGCACTAGTTTTACAGAAAGTAGCCATTTTAAAGTTTTTTTTTGTATGTTTAAAACATCATACTTTTCAAAGTGTCTGTGTTTAAACACACATGCACAACACAAACTGTCTAAATTCTAAGTGCCTGCATTTAAGCATTTCCCCTGCAGGGGGAGTGATAAACTAACTTTGTGGTGTTTCTCTCTGATTCATGAAGAGTTATAGTTTTATATAGTATAATAATAATAATAATAATAATACTAATAATAGTAGTAGTAGTAGTAGGAGTAGTAGTAGGAGTAGTAGTAGGAGTAGTAGTAGGAGTAGTAGTAGTAGTAGTAGGAGTAGTAGTAATAGTAGTAGTAGTA